CCTTAAGCCTTTATCACATTTCTTTGGGGTTTGGCCTATTTCTCACCAAATTAAAGTCCTATCTTCTGACTAGGCAACTTTATTACCAATATCCTGACGACTCTCAGCTTCTCTTAAAGCTCCAATTTAGCACCTACTTCTTGTCAAGTTGATAGATGTGACCAGGTTATATAACACTCCTGGCTCACACAGTTATTCTCAACACATACCACTATTGCCATGATAAGCGAAATCCTCTGAAAGCACAAGTCAAAATTAATCCTCCCTCTTGTTATTGCTGTCACATACCTTATTACAATGAAAAGTCAATGGTATATTTTGATATCTACTAAGTTTTTCCGTAAAAACATATATATGCTTATTTTAGTAGGGTTGTTTTGGAAAAGAAGTAGTAATAGCACAAAGCTTACTATTTTATAATTTTCTTTATCAATGAATTGATTTTTGTTGTTCACTGAGACAGGGTCTCACTATGTAGTTCTGGCTGTCCACTCATTATGTAGACCCAGGCTGCCCTGAAACTCAGAGACCCCCCTGCCTCTGCCTCCCAAGTGCTGGGATTCTTTGAAGGTATATACCACTATATCTGGCCAAATGGAATACTCTGACTTGAAGCATGTATTAATTTTTTAAAGATGATATGTTCACTCTAAATGATTATACTTAACTATATTAAAAGAATGTGATTTTGTTTGTTTATTGAGACAGGGCCTCACTATGCTATCTAGGCTGGCCTTTCTCTTGGGCACAACAAGAGAACTCCCACTTTGGTTTTCTTAATAGCTGGGACTATAGGTGCAAGACACCATATCTGACTCAAAAACATTCTTTTGAAAGCACGATATAGACAAGTCACCAATGTTATCTAAAGGCAACCAACCACTCAGGCATACCCTGAGTGGTATGATACAACAAATGCTCCAGAGTAGACTGAGTACCAAATAATTCTTGACAACAACTTGATAAAAATTTTTAGTCAGGCTAGAGAGATGGTTCAGTGGCTAAGTGTTCTTAATGCTCTTGCAGAGGACCTGTGTTCAGCTCCAATACCTATATCAGATAGTAATCACCTGCAACTCTAGTTCTAAGGGATCCAACACCTCTTCTGGCCTCCACAGGCACCAGCACACACATGGCATACATAAACTTACTCAAGCATACTTACATATATACATATAAACTAAACAGATTTTACACAAGCAAATCTTTCTATAGTTGGGTCTGCCCAATGGCAGAAACCTTAAAAGCAGTTTTTAAGGCCCTAGATGAAATCACTAGCACTGCTAAATAAATGAATCATTCTAGGTTTCTTTCACCATCCTAGCAAGGGAAATTGAATGAGCAGAAATGACATTTGTCACATACTTCTCTACTAGTATAAGAAGTGAATCCAACCAACACCCACATTCATCTATTTATCATCAAATATCACAACTGCTAAAATGCATGTGTTCTTTGAGAAAACAGACAGAAAACCACTTTTACTGTTAAGTAGGAATAAACTATTTATCCATATAACTTTATTGTTACTACTCTGTTTATTTAAATACAATATCATTTACATATAGTGAAATGTCCAGATTATAACCATGCAGTACATTAAGCTTTGGCAAATTCATACACACTTAGGTATTGCAAGATTTAACAAGACAGAAAGCCTGTCACCCTAGGTGGTTCCTTGGGCCATTCTTGTCAATCTCCCAAGACAAGGACTGTTCTGATCTCAACCACTACCATTGACTTCAGCCTTGTCTACTGAAATTTCAGACAGATGAACCAAACAGTGTGTACTCTCCTTTGTGCCTGGCTTTGTCTTAGCTCTTCTGTATTCACATATAATCATGTGGATCAGTAATTTTTATTGCATTTTAGTAAGACACAATTTATCCATTCATCCCCCCATTACTAGACGTTTGTATTCTTTCTTGTTTTGGGAACCACAATGAACAGTTACTATGAACGTTCAAATGCAAATTTTCATAAAACATTTTCACCCTGGGCAATGACAACAAGGCTAGGTCATGTTTTAATTCATAAGAAACTATCAAGGAGTTTCCTATAATAATTGAACCCTTTTCATTCCCTCAACAATATATTAAAATGCATTTATTACCTATTCCTAAGTTTCTTTGTGAAATGTCCACATAAGCCTAAAATTAATTTTTAAACGGGATCATTTGTTCTGAGCAGTTCATTATCTATCTGAAAGTCCTTTGTCAGGTAAATGCAGAGTATTTTCTCATTGCATAACGGGCCCATATACTTTCCTAAGAAACTTCTGGTAAGCAGAAACATTATCTTCAGCGAAGTTCAATTTATCTTTGGTGGCAATTTACACTACTAAGTATGTTCCTCTGTGTGTCTGTTAAGTCTTTGCCTGTACCAAATAAATATGTTAGGATGTTTTCCTTTATAAATTGAATGGAATTTCTGCTCTACTCTTTAGAACAATGCTGTATCTCAAGCATATAGTGTGAATAAGGAATTGTGGTTCATTCTGTTACAGATGTCACACCAGTGTGCTCCCTTATCATAAAGTCTATCCTTTACCTAGAACTGTACAGGCATCTTAGACAAAACAAAACAGACTATACATATGTGCTCATGTGTTGAACTTTCTATTCCATCCATCTCATTAATGTATTTGTCTAACCGTAATACCATTCTTCAACAAAGCTTTAGTTATTGTGCCTTCATACTAAACCTTGAAATCAAGTAATTTACATCTTTTACCTTCATTACTTTTTATAAAAGTATTTTACACTATTCTACAACCTTTATAGTTCCACATAAGTTACATAATCAAAATGGCTGTGTATGTGTGTTATTAAAGTTGTTATTTCTGAGTTAATGAATGAAAGTGATAAGAACAGACAGCTTAGTAATACTGTACTTTTCAATATAGGGATACATATTTTTGTGCATGCTTGTGTGCATCATTGTGCATGGCTGTGGGGGTGAGGGGCTTGGCACATGCTAGGCAAGCACTCCATCACTGAGCTACATATATGGCTTTCCCAGAATAAGACAACCTGCCATATATTCGAGTCTTTCATTTCTCTCAGTAATCAATGTGTTGGAGAATTCTTAATGTATTTTCTTTAACTGTATCTATAAATACTTTATACTTTTAAGGCTACTATAATCATTCTAAAATTTTACCTTCCAAGTGTTTATGTATACTAAAAGATGGTTATGGAAAGAATTGATTTCATTACCCTGACCCCTTGCTAAAGTCACTTGATAATTTTAGTAATTTTGGTAGACTAAGATTTTATACATGTGCAATCACAACATCTGTCTGAAAAAAGATTAGTTTGCAATCCAGTCTGTAAGTCTTTCTATTCAGAGATCATAGACATACAGCACTGAGTCTTTATCTTTAAGTATAACATAGTAAGTACATTTCCTCAGATGCCACCAATGAGGACCTACACCTCTTAGTTTAATGAAATGTTTTTGATAATTAATGTTGTCAAATATTTTTTCCATCTATTGAAATGCCCATGTTTTTCTCCCTTGGTTTATTAATACAGTGAATTATAAGAATAATTTTCACATATCCAATCAAGATGAATCCAACTTTCTGTTTCTGAGGATCTGTGTGAGTTCCATGGCCTCCTTTGCTTAGTAATGTTCTTCTCTGGTTTCTATCAGTGTTATGTTAATTCCAAAGCATTAGCTAAGAAATGTTCCTTATCCTGTTGTCTAAAAAGTCCTGTAAACTTAATATGATTTCTCCTTTTATTTTTATTTATTTTTTGCTGTTGTTTGTTTCCCCCAGGGCCTCACAAACATTAGGCAGGATCACTAACAGACACTATACTGAGTCTCACACCTCATTTTATTTGCCATCAAGTAGAGGAAAACCAGCAAGGTCCCACATTTCCTTTGTGAGAATGTTTAAAGTATAAATTCAACTTTTTAGCAAACGATTGATTTCTTCTTGAGCCAGCTTTGGTAATTTATGTCAAAAAATAGCTCAACTTGCTAAATTTCTTGAGATAAATTACTGTATTTCTGTAGTGATAGCCCCTCTTTCAATTTTTACAATGGTAGCTTGGAGGTTTTTGATCTCTTTGTTGGGAAGGAGCATCTTGTCCTCCCAAGTGGTAGATCTACAAGCTGACTCCATGTGTCACTGGATCTCTCTCTCTCCCTCTCCACCCCCCCCCCTTTTCTCTCATGTCCTAGGCATTTCTGCTGCTGTTTCCTTGTTTTGAGACAGAGTCTGGCTATAAAACCCATGCTGGACTCTTGGTTCTCGAGACTCCTAGCTGCCACACAGCAAATAGGTATACAGTATCTTACTTATTTACTTAGTAGCCTTTTAGAAACACCTTTTGAAATGGTTGAATATTCTTTACTATTCATCTATTTAAGGTCTCCTAGAGTTCTGCTATTTTATTATCTCCTTTCTTCTAATTTAACACTTGAATCCACTCTTTCCTAGCTCTTCAATGTTACTCATTAATCTTCTAAATGGACTTTGTGCCTTGCTTAGGCAGTGAGATACTTAATAACAATATCCTTAGGCTTCTTTTTCTGACTCTTTAGAACTTTCATAATTTCTCAGATTGAGTTTAACTCATGCCCATTGGGGGGGGTTGATTTAAGAAACATGTAGGGCCAGGATTCATGGTATATACCCAGAATCCATACACTTAGGTAGCTGAGGCAGGAGTTCCAAGTCAGTCTGGGCTATATACTGATTTTAAGATCGTTCTTATAGCTCTCTCTTAAACTCTCTTCCATCACAAAAAGAAAAGTGTTCAGAGGTCAGCTTTCAATGGGAGCACATAATTCCTTCAATCAAAAGGTTTAATTTCAAAACCCCCTCTAATGACATGCAGTATTTTCCCTTTGCTCTTCTAACATTAGTAAACAGATGTTTTCGAGAATCAAGCTCAAAATGTAGAAGAAACTAGGAAATGAGATAGCACTGGAGAAGAAACAGCAGCTGCCTGCACCCTTGGCAGCTGGATCATCAAGCCTACTGTTCAGCAATATATTGCAAGAACCACAGTAATAATAAAGACTGAAGGCTGAGTTTTTCATTTCTTCTACTTGAAAAGTGCCTTGTAGCTGGGCGGTGGTGGTGCACGCCTTTAATCCCAGTACTTGGGAGGCAGAGGCAGGCGGATCTCTGTGAGTTCGAGACCAGCCTGGTCTACAAGAGCTAGTTCCAGGACAGCCTCCAAAGCCACAGAGAAACCCTGTCTCGAAAAAAAAAAAAAAAAAGAAAAAGAAAAAAGAAAAGAAAAGAAAAGTGGTTAGAGAATATGAAATGAGACTCTTGGAGTCTCCATAAATATCAGTTCCCATGTAGTGATCATTTTACTCCTGACTGTTGACATCAGATAGGGTATTCTTTATTTAAAGCAAACTGCAATTCTAACAGTATTTTGTTTGCCTGAAAACTGTCAGGGAAAAGATACAAAAAAAAAAAAAAAAAAAAAAAAAAAGAAAGGAAAAAAAAAGAAAAAACCCGAAAAAACAAAAAAACAGAAAACTGGGAGATGAGAAAAAAGTATGTCTGAAAGCTGAGTCCAAAGAATCATTTGCATCAAATGAAGCAATGAAAATACAGGCGACACAGGTGTACTACCTGAACATGTACAGTTAGTTACCTATTTGATTCAACTGCTCTAGTGAACCTACCAGCTTTAATAGCAGAATATACAAAGTAACATTTTAACTCTTAAACAAAATACTTGGGAAATATCAGTAAATCAAGATTTAGGTGTAGCTGGATTTTGTGCATCTTCTGAGAACCCAAACTCTGCAACTGTCACTCTGACAACTTCAAATTCAGAAGATATCATTACCAATCAATCATCTTACTAATTCATACTTTATAAATAATTATGTGGAAACTGTATCAGGTCAGGAAAATTCATTCCCTTTAGCACAGTTAAGAATTAAACACAAACAACAAATCTGCTATTGCCATTTTTATACCCACAGAAAATTTAAAAGTTGCAGTTAACTCTGTCTTATCAGACCCAAAGTATGCCATGGAAATGGAAGACACTGACTTAGACTCCTTAAATAAGGATGTAGACCACAATGCAGAAGTTTTACAAACTGAACATTTATACTGCAGACAAAACATAAACAAGGAACATCTTTGGCAAGTCTCCAATCTGCATTCAAAGATACAAAACCCATCTCTAGCAAGATTGAAGGCTTTGGAAGCTTTTATAAGCCAACTATGGCAGGGGAACTGGCTATTTGAAGAAAATGTCAAGATAATAGGGAACTGTTTCACAACATACAATGTCACTGTGATATAAGTTTTAAAAGCTATGATTTTTGTATAAGCTTTTTCCAGTTAAATCATATGTAAAGTGAACTTTGTCCTGTAAAGTTCTTAATGAAGCTATTAAATGTCCTAATGTTACAAACAACATCCTGATCTTATAATGCTCATTATTATAGAGGAAACAGAAGAGGTGTTTGGTTGAAAAAAAAAAGTTTTATTACTTGATAATTTTCCTATTATAGCTAAAACAGCAAGATTTATTTATAAAAAAAAAAAAAAAAAAAAAGATACAGTCAGACTGCTCAGACTGCATCAGTCCTGGTTCTGCCACTGGCATATGACCTGAACAAACCAGTATCTTGACGCTCTAAGGGCTAGGAATGTACCTTAGTGATAGAGAACTTGCTGGCTTATGCAAGGTTTTAGAGGTCAGTCACCAGTATTGGGAGCAAGAGAGGAGACTCAGTTCCTAATCTTTAAAAAAAGGCACTTACTAATCAGTAACAGTCTGTTTCTTTGTAGTTCCTTCCCTTTCTATGACGATACTTTGCTCAGAAAAGATTTTCTATAAGACGATATATAATTTATGTAATAATAGTTGTCTAGAATTTAATATTAACTATTCAATTATCCTCAATATCCTTTGTGTTCTGCAACCCTTTGCCTTTAGTTTCATACCTTTAATGTAAAGGAAAATATCATGATTAGTATTCTCAGTTGAACTCAGCTGTCAGGAAAGATGTTTTAGCCTTGAAAGAGAATATGTATATATCGAAGCATTTTATATGTGTGTATAAATAGCTCACCATTGTAATACAGTTATCTAAGTACCTGGTCATCCTGTATTTGTAAAACTGTATTTATAAGCCAAAAAGTTTAATCTTAAATATATTTTAGAAATCATAGTTTTGCATCTATCTCTAATAGGTGTGACTTTTTTGAAGTGTGTTTCTATGTTTTTACATCTAAAATAACAGTGTAACAATATTATACATTCCCTCCTATGTATATTTTAGTAAAGCTTATAGGGAAGAAATTATAATTAAGTAGTTAAGACTTTATCCAAAGAAAACTGATAATGAAATACATAAAAATACCACTTGTATCCATATTGAATATAAGAGAAAAAAATTTAAAACTAAAGGCTTTGGATATATCACACATGTGAGAAAGGGGTGGCACATTCCCTGAAAAATGTCAACAGAACGTATTACTGCCTGTGAATTGAGCATGGTCCTATTGATCTCACCGTTAGTTTGTTTTGGGGGGTTTTGGGTTTTGTTTTTGTTGTTGTTGTTGTTTTTAAATGAAAAAAAATCCTCTAAAAGGATGCTTGTGAGTGTTCTATACTCCAAAAAAAAAAAAAAAAAAAAGGGTCTGGGGACCTAGAAAATAGGAGGTGCTCAACAAATATTAGTTGTCCTGAATCACAAATAATAACTACTTTGTAAGTGGATAGTAATTATTTTTAAGCATATATCACTTTGTTTCTACAGGATAATAAAACTAATTGGTATTATTTAACTATGGAAGCTAATATAAAAGTACATTATTGTTTTATTAGGTGTTTTTATTAGATGACTATGAAGGAAAACACCTGCAATTAAGTATTCCTGTGTTACATTTTGCTAAAAAAAAAAAAAAATGTAAAAATAGGTCATACAAATGGGAAAACAACTTACTTAGAAGTTGTCTTGACAATTTCCTCTGCACTCTGTAGGGGCTGGAATAGCCCATCGATCTCAGCAGAGTCAGGGTCCCTGGGTCCTCAAGGACTAATTCAGTCTGCCTGCAGACCCCAGGGCGGGATTTCCCAGAATGGGTGGGCGGAAGTTGGGCCCAAGGCAGGGGCCGAAGCAGCTTACCTCTGCACTCTGGGTGGGTCTAGGCCCTATCCCAAAGGATACGATAGACTCTGATGACACCCTATGGAAGGTCTCACCATCCAGGGGGAGCAGAAAGGATATGTGATAGGTAGGGTTTTAGTTGGGGGGGCAGTGGTAGGGGAGGACGGGAGGGAGAAGGGAACTGGGATTGTCATGTAAAACAATCTTGTTTCTAATTCAAATTTTAAAAAAGTTTGAGAAAAAAAAAGTAAAAATCATTCTAATTTCCTATTTTTATCTATTAAAATAAAAGCAAAGCTTGTTACAAAAAAAGAAGAAATAGTAACAACAGTAGGAAAATCAAAGCAATAGAGTAAGCAGTAACTGAATCAGCAAAGCAGAAAATAACCGAAATGAAGAACTACCTACAACAGAGGATTCAAGAGAACAGACAGACAGAAGGAAGGAAGGAAGGTTGGTTGGTTTTCACTATAGAAGATCAAATACAAGAAGCATCAGTGAGGATGCAGAATAGGGTCAATCCCAGAACCTATTTAAACCCACAGGACATAGAAAGTCACAGAGCCTTAATGATGCCAAGCAAACATGACCCCTCTTTGCTTCAGTAGTGACATTAGGCTGTTTACTCCAGAGTGGCTGTACCAAAGGCACAAGTACAGGGAAGAAATACAGTAAAAGTCTATAACATAGATAATCTTACCTTTTTGCCTAGTTTGAATTCCAAAGTGCAGCAAGCAGCCTCGTGTATAAACCTTCCCTCTACAACATAATCTACTCTCTGCCTATTAAAAGGGGGAAAGCGGGGCAGAGACAGACAAGGCAGAGATCAGAGGTGTCCTGGTGCTGCTTGGGGAATGCAGGCAGAGCCCTCTCCCACCTCTGTCCACCTAAAAAAATCTCCTTGTCTTTCAGCCTGTCAACTTTGTACACAAAGTGAAGAAAGCACTTCCACAGAACTTCATTCTCTCTGCCCTCCCACCAAACTCTTCACCTTTCCCACTCTTTCCCTCAATTCATCAAATGAAATAATGAACATGGGTATTCTTTTTTAAAATTTTATTTTATATGCATTGGTGCTTTGCCATGGTTGTCAGGTCCCCTGGAATTAGAATTACAAACAGTTGTGAGCTGCCATGTGGGTGCTGAGAATTGAACCTAGGTCCTCTAAAAGAGCAGTCAGTGCTCTTAACCACTGAGCCATCTCTCCAGCCCCCCATTATACCTTCTCTGGCTTGGACTGCACACCACAGTCAAGCCAGAGACAGTGATAGTGCTGAATAGAAACCAGACTTAATTTCCACCTACTGCTCATATGGATAGAAAAGGTTAAAGACAAGAGTTTGCCAAGTATACTGACCCACACCTATAATCTCAGCACTTAGAAAACTGAAGCAGGAGGGATGCTATGAGTTAGGTCAGTCTGAACTACAGAGACCCTGTCTCAAAAAGATCAAAGTTTCTACAATTTTCCCAACAGTAAGTGCACTTTTCGGTGAAGTGCCACTGAGGAAGTGTGTTATAGAATTCAGAGTCCTGTGATTAACATAGCACTTTAGAATGGAATCTTTGTTCTAATATGTCAAACAAAGGTAAATGAGGCCTTGGTCTCAACAAAAGGCCCTGGATTTAAATTGTAGCTCCCAATGCTTAAGCCCCAAACATATCAACAGTCATTTATTTTCAGGTTAATCTAAATGTGTAGTGTACAGAGGTTTGGGGTGGGGGGGAACTTGAATGTGTGTGTGTGTGTGTGTGTGTGTGTGTGCGCGCGCGCGCGCGTGTACGCTTCACCTGCATGTATACTTGTGTACCCAGTACCACAAAAGCCAGAAGAGGGTGTCAGATTCCAGGGACAATCACCTTTTTTGTAAAACACCATGTGGATGGTGGGAATTAAGTCTGATTCCTCTGAAAGAGCTACTTGTGCTCTTATCAGCTGAGCCGTCTCTTTAGCCCTATTTCTAAGTTAACTTTTAATTTTTTTTTTCTTGTTGAGTAACTGTACTGTGTTGTAGCAACAGCTGTCCTATGCACACTTTAAACAATTTTGTTCAGGACAATAAAGTCATAGAACTTAACAATTGAATATCTACTTTTTCTCAAGTTTACATGCCAAATATGATTTCAGCACAAACCTGATGCAAATAGTCCTGGGGCATGAGGAAGACACTGTGTCTGGCATAATGCAAATCTGACAGAAATAATATAAATGGGTCATAAATTTTTCCTTTAATCTATTTTCCTTTATACTTTTTGTTTTATACAACTTAATTTTTTGGGACGGGAGAGGTGGCTCAGTGGTTAAGAGCATACACAGCTCTTGGAGAGGACCCAGGTTCAGTTCCCAATACCTATGTCAGCAGACAACTTAATTTTTCATTTTAGGAGCTGAAAGATTAAAAAAAGAAAGAAAGAAAGAAAAAATTAACAGCTGTTATATGTAGAAGGGTCTCTATTATATGACTAATTTCTCACATGCTAGAAATATAGTTTTAATCAATGGTAATTAAAGCCTGGTACTTCCTAATGAGATGATTTCTTTATCCTCTAAGGACTCAAAATGGAAAGGGGAAAGAAAGGAAAGAGAAGTAGGGG